CCATCGTGAATCCTTTCTTACTCAACGATATAAACCATCTATGTTTTTTTCTCTTATTCATAATGATGTGTGGGGATCTTCTAGAACATTAACCAACTCTGAAAAAAAATGGTTTATAGCATTTATTGATAATCATACACGTCTAAGTTGGGTTTAAAAAATGGTTTATAACATTTACTGATGATTATACACGTCTAAATTGAGTTTATCTACTTAAAGAAAAATCTGAAGCATAACGTATTTTCAAATATTTTTATAGTATGGTTGAAACCCAATTTCAAACAAAAATTAGAGTGTTTCGGAGTGATAATGGAAACGAGTATTTTAATCAAATCTTAAGGTCATTTTTTTTAGAAAAAGGAATTGTTCATCACAGCTCTTACAATGACACTTCTCAACAAAATGGGGTAACAGAAAGAAAAAATAAGCACCTTTTACAATTAGCTAGGTCATTGATATTTACCACTAATGTACCTAAAATGGGAAAATGACTCTTACTACTACACATCTAAGCAACAGTATGTCATCAAGAGTTTCGAACTTTTAGACATCTTAAACAGTTTTCAAAAAGTCATTTCCTATGTCCTAACTGACCTCAAATTTATCGTTAAGAGTCTTTAGATGTGCTGCATTCGTTCATATACATAATCGTATGAGATATAAGTTAGATTCACAAGCAATAAAATGTATTTTTTTAGAATATTCTCACACAAAAAAGGAGTATAAATGTCTTGATCCTACCAAAAAAAAAAATTATCACAGTTGATGTTACATTCCTTGAGTCTTAAAGCTTTTTTAGTTCTCTTCAACGGGGAGAAAGAAATGAAGACTCGATGTTTGAAAAAAAAATTGAAAAAAATTTTGATGGTTATACAAATAGGAAACTACAACCTTTAATCTTGATATTCTGGATAAAGAAAATAAGGGACTCACCTTAGTGTCTGAACATAAAAAAAGACACTAGGGAAATGGATATGCACACTTCAATGACGAAAGATTGTTCAGAAAGGCTTACACTAAAAGAAATTCGATTCAAAGCCAAAAGAAATGCAGTTATGTCTCCTCGAATGCAAGAATCTGATCCAATATCAAGATTCAAAAAATTGGGTACAATCTCTAAGTCTGTAGAATCTAAGTTTTTTCTCCATTCAACAATTGCATTCTAACCTTTTAGACCTCCTCATTGCTCTTAGGAAAGAAACCCGATCATGTACTCAACATCTTTTATCAAATTTTGTGTCTTATAAGAATTTATCATCTTCTTACCATACTTTTGTCTCACAATTGTCAAGTGTGCATATACTTAAATCTGTACAGGAAGCACTCAAGATTCCTGAATGAAAGAAAGTTGTCCTTGAAGAAATAGAGGCTCTAGAGAAAAATGGTACGTGGGAAATGACTGGTTTGCCTAAAGGGAAATTGATTGCTGGGACAAGTGGGTTTTCACTGTAAATTCAACTTAGATGGATCCTTAGAATGTTGTAAAGCAAAGTTAGTAGCAAAATGATTTACGCAGACATAGAGTTGACTATCAAGAGACATTTGCCCCTGTTACCAAATTGAATACTATTCGAGTGTTATTTTTTGCAGCTGTAAATTCATAGTGGTCATTGTTCAATTGGATGTTAAAAATGCATTCTTCAACGGAAAGCTAGAAGAGTAAGTCTATATGGATGTGCCGCCTGACTTTGAAGATAAATTTAGAGAGAAAGTGATGTGAGCAAGGAAAAGGAAAACTCCTATGGGATTTTCTTTCCTAATCCCTCGAGAAATCTTTTTTAAGAGGGAGAATCGAGCAAGGGAGGCAATTGATCCTAAATTGCAAGCTTATTTGAGAAAAGAGGAAAACTCTTTAAATGTCCAATCTTGCGAAAAAAGAAAACATATTTAAATTTCTTCCCCTAGATCAACCATAATTAATTAACATCTTCTTTATTTAAAAAGTATTCTACAAAGAGATATCATATCTATCCTATTTTAGTTATAATTTTCTTAATTTTGTTAGTTTCCTATTCTATTCTACATTTAATTTCCTATGTAATTTTTTTTATTAAATTTAGAAGATTATTTTTCTTAGTATTCACATGCCCTATGCTATAAATAGCTCATCAATTCCTACTTGTAATAATTCAAATTTGAGAATAGTAAAATTATGAAATTTTAGTTTTCAACGTGTGAGCTTTCTTCAAGATTCTTGTTGAGTGGGGAATTGATGTTTACTTATTAAGATAACTTACGATG